GGAACATTTTTGTATTTTGGCATGCAAATGTTTAGCAAGCTTACTTTTGATGTTATATTTTTGCATTCCATGGATGTATAGTATTTTAAAAGTTAAGATGGCTTCCTTGATATGTAATGTGTAACTAAGTACACTTTTTGATGCATATTTTGTATATTTAACATGAGGCCAAGAGCCATTGGTTTTAAAAGTTCACAATTATATTTTTAAACTTGTTTTGGATCATTGGGAATGCATGTATAGCCTCAAGGTTGCCTTAAATTTGCTTACTGTTTTGTTGTTTGGCTGTTTTCTCGTTTCCGTTTTGTCGTTCGGCAAATTGTTGTCTTTTGTTCCGTCGTTCGGTAGTCAGAATGTCAGAACATCTGAACGCTTGAACCTTTTGGCTGAACGCTTGAACCTTTTGTTAAAACGCTTGACCATGTAAGTCAGAACGTCTGAACGCTTGAACATTTTGTCAGAACGCTTGACCATGTAGGTTAGAGCGTCTGAACACTGGAACCTTTTGTCAGAACGCTTGACCATGTAGGTCAGAACGTCTGAATGCTTGAACCTTTCCTTTATTTTGTTTTGATCACCTTTTGCTTCCGCATTTCAGATCCGTTAACAGGTCATCTTTTGGTCATCACTGACGTATCGGGTTTATAAAACTTGGGCCGTCACAAGTGGTATTAGAGCTCCTAGGTTTGAATACCTTAGTGATGAGTGCTGAATATATGCATATTCGAGCCTTTAAATACATATCTGTTAAGGCCTAAAGTGATACTTCTATCCATAGTTAGACTAATTTATGTATGATGTGTGTTTGTAGGTACTTTCCCAGAGAAATGGTTAAAACTGAGACTTTATGATGATATTGAAGCTTACAGAGTCGTTGCCGGTCATTCAGAGCAAACCGAAAGCTTAGATGGTGATGTTTGAAGATATTCAAGCCTTAGAGCTCGAGCCCAAGTGTAGAGGCTTGAGCATTGATCGGTATGACAATTATACATCAACCTTTGCAATAGCACAAATCATTGTAAAATAGGGCTATTGGTCAGGTAAGTTGAACCACTAGGACTACTAGTTTATGGCAACCTAGGTGTCTAGAATCATTTTTAGAATGATGAAGGGGGTGAATAGAGATTTGTTGGCTTGTCACTAAAAGTAAGAATTAAAATGCATAAAACACTAAAGTAAAGAGGTAGAGATAAATAAGAAGGGACTAGGGAAGCGAATCCACCTTCAACCCTATACACATGCTAGACAAAGACTAAATTGGGGATAGACAATATATAATGGTCAAGAATTACATAGCAACACATGATTGCCATATAATCATCAAGAAGTTCATTAAATCAAAAACAAGAATGATCCATCAAAAGTTTATACATTCGAACTACTTAATCTAGGGTGTAGCATCAAGCATACTCTCTTAAGCAAAAGATCATCAAGCCTTTAATCAAATGATGAAGCACATGAAACTAGGAATCAAGCATAAACCATCAAAGGAAATACCTAAGCAATGGACTATCAAGTTTCTCTATTAACATGCCATTAAAACCATTCCATAATCTCATTTCCATTATCACTATGGAAATGCAAGTAATATGATTAAGAGAAGTAACCATCTAAGACAAGATGAATAACTCAAAATAATCATTTATAAACATTTAAAATCCATTACAACAATTATGGGGCTCTAGATCATGAAATGACCAAAGAAAATACATTGTTATCCCACAATAAAATCTAAATTAGAACATACTTACAACGGAGGGGCTTTATCACCTCCCTAGATGAAGGTTTAGTTACCCATGGATGCAAGGAATGAAGGAGAAAAAGCACCCTCACCCTCCACTTTCGTGCTCAAGGGCTTCAAGAACACTACCCCCACAAGCTCTCAATATTTCTCTCTCTAAAACTTGGCCCCCATGTAAGATCATCTCTTCCTTTAGCCTCAATCCCTTTATTAATCCCTTAGCCTCTCAATTTCCCTCCATTTTCGTGCCCTACCAACCCTAGGAGGATTAGAACCACAAAAATAAGTCAACAGGATAGCATTGGGAGGAGGAGTGCAGAGTTGTCTGCAGATCGGCAGGGGCCCGCGAGTCCTTGCATGACGAGGGGACTCTCTGGAGGGTTTGGTGGGCACCCGCGATGGGGTGGTTGGCACCCGCGGAAGCTCAGCCGGGGCCCGCCGTGGGGCGGTGGGGCCCTGCGAGATAAGGCAGTGGGCTGGAGCATTTGGCTGGCGTGTGTCTTGGCTTCAACACCTTTAGCATTCTTTTTGACAACTTTTGATGGCGTCGCAACACGGTCGTCAATTAAATTCAATGCCATAGAGTTTAGACATATGATGGCTTCAAAAACTTTGCTCCACTAATAGTCCCCAGCAACGGCTTACTTTGGTTTTCCAACAACTTGTTAAAACTGTTCTTTTAATCAATTTCGAAGCAACCATCATGAAAGGAGACAAAAATACACAAATAGAGCTAAACTGTACATTATACTCCACTAATGGGCTTAACTAATGCACGTAAGGGCACTTGAATATGCAATATTCGGCGCTTATCACACCCCCAAACTTACATTTTGCTAGTCCCATAGCAAAACCAAAATATAGAACTTAACCAAAAATAACAACAAATGGAATGCTGACCACATGCATCAATCATGGAGTAAGAAATTACCTACAAAGCTCAAATATAACTTGGAACAACAAAAAGTTGGAAATAGACTCATTAAGCAAACTACCTTACATATATAAAGCCTTGATGCTCAAAATGGCAAAATAAGTTTCAACTTTTACGCACTGCTCATCAAACCCTATATAAGCACTTCAATTGTCATTTCTAAAATGGAATTCAACTCTAACTTCAGTGAAAGTGAACCGGATTCCCAATATATGGCTTTTACCCTCTTTTTCCAATCCCAAAAACACAAGCTTTCAAATCCTTAAATCTCCTTCTAAATGAGGTCCCCAAGGCTTAACTTTATTCACAAAACAAATTTTGTTGCTTAATGACAATTTTATTGATCAACTCAAGAGATTACTTACTATGGTCGTGCAATGTCAAAATCCTTTAAGCTTTCTAACCAACCCATGTAGCAAGTGTTAATCAAAGATCCTAAGAGGTCCATAATCTCATCATGGCCCAAAACCAACAATTCCCGCACTACGACAACACCAAATGACTCACCTCACGAGAGCCTAAGCAAAAGGTGACCATCCACTTGCCTCAAAACCAATGCTAGGTTGACAACAACCAAGATCACCACGAGACTGTGACTACAATCACCATCCACCCTAACTCGTGCCTCAATGACCAAACCCATGTTATGCCAAATATGTAATACAGTTATGCGTATACAAATCTAATCTTGCATACATCATATGTCGGGCTCTTTACAACAAATTTAAATCATGCTAAACAAATGGCATACCACATGTAGCACGTAAGCACATAAACATGTTATCAAATCAAAACATGTTATTATGAAGTATATAAGCACATAGAGTATGGCAACAAAAGCATGATATGCACCTAAAACCCGTCGTCCAAGGTATTCAAACCAAGGAGCTCTGATACCACTTGTGACGGCCCAAGTTTTTCAACTTGGTGCATCAGTGATGAACCGAAAGATGACCCGATAACGAATCCGAAATGCGAAAGCAAAAGACAAAACAACGGTCTCTAGAGATACAACATGGCTCTAAGACACCATTATGACCCTCAACGAGGTCACGGACCCAAAGGAATCAAATGTGGAAGCAACGTTTTTAAAAACGAACAAGAATGAACCTAGGGGAAAAAACGTCATTTCCAGCTTAAAAGTGGGTGCCACCGAGCACACCATTGGAAATACAACAAAAAACATATGAATTTAGACTCAAGAATCACTTGATTCGGGATCCGGATGAGGAAGATATGGCTAACGGAAGAAGAAGGGGCAAAACGGTCAAAAAGTGCCAACCCAAGAACATCTAACCGTTTAGATGACCTTTCTAACCGGTTAGATGGCCAAAAAACTCGACCAACACACTTCCTACACTCATCTAACCGGTTACGAAACCCCTTCTAACCGTTTAGATGTGAAGGAGGCAGAATGGGCAGCAAGAAATCCTAGCAGCAGGGGTTTTTCACGAAAAAATGGAAATTTGAGGGCCTAGATGACATTTTCTGGAAAAACACAAAGAAGAAACCCCCCCTCAAAATTGAGTTTTCTACATAAAGATTTATTGAAATCAAAAAATACACACTGTAAAATGCCCAAAATGCCCTCCCAAAAAATCTGGTGCAGAGGGTCGAAAAAGCTGCTAAATGGAAAAACAGAAGCTGAACTTCGGAAATGGTTTCTGATGCCAAGACGACATTTTCAGGAAAAACACAAAGAAGAAACCCCCCCTAAAATCACATTTTCTAAGTGACTGTGTAAGGAACATAATTTATTTCCCAAAGAAAATTTCTAAAATACCCTTAGGTCAGATTATGCCACAAAAGTGTAAAATGAGTCTGTAGGAGGCTCATTTCACCAAAGAAGAAACTTTGCCCGGAAATGACTATGCACAAAAACGTAACTTACCTAATAAGATGTGCTACAATGGTCCATGGCTCAAAAATATGGCCGATACAAAATATGACCCCCCAACGGCCAAAATGCCAAAAACGAAGTTTGGAATGAAAACTTGGAATTCAAAATCATGAAATGGTTTCAAAATGCCATTGGCCCTTGGCCACACTTCATACATGATGAATGAATGCCAATGGATGAGTTTCATACACAATGCACACCCCGGTGCAAAATAGCATACTAAAACGCATGATTTTTCATATATTCTCATTAAGACAAAAATTAACATCCATGATATAAATGTGATTCCAACAGAATTTTGGACCTTGGCCTCATGTCATATACACAAAATGAGAATCAAAAAGTGTGTTTAGGCACACATTACAAGTTTAGAATCAAATATACACATTTAACAAATAAGGCTACAATGTGCATTCCAAGCCAACCTTCACAAAAATGGAAGTCTCCAAGTCCACAAACCATCAAAGCATGATGAGAATCTCAACTTTGATTCTTGTACCTGAAAAATGTCCCCACTACATGGGTGAGTAACATAAAACTACTTGTAGGAAATGAGTATGCATTGACCTACGTTTTACAATTTTGCATGATTTATTTATTGTGGTTCATTCCACCTAACGTCTATGTCAAAGGTGAGACTCAAGGAGCATCCTAGCTACCTAAGATCATTTCTAGCATCAATCACCTCCTTCATGCAATTTTAGCAACATAGGGTCATGCTTACACAAAGCAACAGCATAGGAACATGCTTACACAAAGCAACACATAGAAGCATGCTTACACAAAGCAACAACATAGAGGTTCTCAAGGTTATCAACTTGAAGTCTAAAATGCAACATCAACTAAATATAACAATTTAGCATAATTAGAATATCTAGTACCACACATCAAGACATAGATTCTCTAGGTTATCAACTAGATATCTAAAAGTGTGAAATCAACTAAATATAACAATTTAGTATGGATGTACTTAACAACATCAAAATCACCAATAGCCAAAACCACAAGTCAACAAGGTAAACATGATTATCAACTTGGAATTGAATGCGAAAACAAATAGTGGAAGACTTGGACATCACACTCGAAATTCTGTCGAGACCTCAATGGTTATTCCGGGCACTAACCCGCAGGGAAGACCACCCTAAGTGTGCATTATCTCAATGACTTAAAGGCCTCACGTCCCCGTACTAGAGCCAAACCCTAGCCATCTCAACTCAACAATGTCCCAAGATTCCAAAATAAGCCAAATAAGTTCACAACTTATACATATTACAACTACATAGTAACAAGTTAGCAATGTAACTCTCAATTGTGCATAATAAACATTTCATATTCATAATGCTATGAAATCACAAGTCAACAATATATATTCATATTAGAAACATATTCTCATGAATTTAAATTTAACAATAATGCTCTTCAATGCATATAACACAATCAAGTGAATACATCACAAGTCTAAATCCATGCTCTTAAAATAGAAACAATTTCTAAAACATGATTAGATCCATGGATAGGGAAGATAGAATTTAATTACATCAAAATAATTAAACTCTCTAGATTTCAAATCATCCCCAAATGGCCTCAATTTAATATATGATAAAAGATATATCATGGTCATTACATATATTCACACAAAAGCTTAATTAGGCCCATAAAACCACAAAATATATTTTAATTAATTCTCTTAATTAAAGTCTCTATATTTCCAAACTCAACCAAATGCTCTCAAATTAAAGTATGTTAAAGAACATGCCATGACTTAATTTACAGCATATTATAACTCAATTTCATGCAAGGTATGGCCATGAACTTTAATCTTTCACAAAAGATATATATTAATTAAAAAGAGCAATTCTTATTTAGTTAATCCCAATTTAATATATGTTAACCAATATATTAAAACAAGAGTTTCTACCATGCCACAATTCAAATCCAAATTGTTCATCATCATGAAAATTAAATCTTATACAAAGAATTAAATATTTCAAATTTCCTAGATTTGATACAAGGCATGCATATAGGTTGTACAAACATGGACAACACACAATACAACACATATAAAATCCTAAAACATTCCCTACCTCCATTTGAGATGAAATCTCAAATCCCCACCAAAATAAATCGGCTTCGAATCCGACGAAACTGCTAGGTTTTGTCAGGGACAACACCACGAACGTGAATCCCAAGGAAGCCCCATCAAAAACACAACTTGACTTCAAACCAAACTCAAGAAATGGCCAAAACGAGATTCCAATCGGTTGGAATCGAAGGCCTCGCCAAGGGGAACAACAAACATAAAGGCATTACCACTTTTTAATGAAGGGAAGAAGTCCAAAAGAGGAGAGAGAAGGTGGCAGCCATGGGAGAAGCTTGGACCGGCCATGAGAGAGGAGAGAGAGGGAAAAATCTGATTCTAAGACCTCCTATTTATAGAAAAACTCAAAAAGTGCCCCGAACGGGCTCCGCCGGGTCCGAAAAAGTGAAATTTGAGCAGACACGCTCAAACGGCAAAACTCCATGAACGAAAAAGATTCAAAATGAGAAAATATGAACAACGGAAGAAACAACGTAAAAAACCAAGTCCTGAGCAGAGAGTTATGCCCCAAACAAGTTTGGCGCAAACCTGGGCGAGAAACCCTAAAACTGGAAAACATCATCCAGGAGGAAATTCTAAGAGTCCATGACTCGATGAAATATGAAAATGAATCCCGTACGAGAATCCAGGCTCCAAACAAGGCATTGAGCAATAACTTTCATTAATTGCACAATGACCCCTCCAAAAAGTGAAAACTGCAAAACTGCCCCAAAAAGAAAATATCTTCTAAAAGATATTTTCTTAGATACCCCTGAAATAAAATATCTTCAAAAGATATTTACGAAAAACACCCCAAGAAAAGGAAATGTTTCCAAAGAACAATGCATCCATGCCCCTATGGACACCGGGAGCAACCAGAGTATTTTCTCACGAAATTAAAGATACGTATCTCATAGAAATCATTGAGAATGAAGATACGTGAAGTCAGAAACCAACTCCAAACACAAGAAGTGTGGTTACGCAAACAAAGTGCCAAACGGGAAAAAGACAAAATAGAGAAAGGACGAAAAGTGAATAATGTCGAAAAAACGAAAAATGTGGAAATGACTCGATCCTCAAAGGAAGTTGTCAATCCACATAAAAGAGTCTCGAAAATCACTCCAGAGCACTCAAGATGACACTAAGCGACATGAAACTGAACTCAGAAAGGAAAAAGATCAACGGAAAAAAAATATCCGTGAAAATCTGAGAAAAGGGAAATGAATGAAAATGACCGGGTCATTACACAAGGGTTATAATGATAGAGGAAACAGAATCAAATTAATAGAATTAGGGTTCTCATGATCTAAGCAAACATTGGCTTATGTTAGACCTTGAAACAAGATATTCTATGGGTTGACTCAAATTAAGTACAATGTATAATAATACACCCCAGACAAAAGGTGACATATACTTGGATTTTTTTTGGTTTTTTTTTTTTTTTTACACCAAACAAAACACCATATCATTGAAGATGATGAAAGATTTAAGTCGAAATTAAGAACGCTCCACTCGAAATGAGAACATTAGACTGCAAGAGCTTTTGGTTCAAACAAATAAGCTATACTTGGATCATTCAAGGGAAGCTTGGATGTAATAGAAAAAGTGCTTTGATTTGGGCATATAATAATTTACAACTTTTTTTAACAATCAAACACAATCTTTTGATAGTCACCTGTTATCATTTGAGTGGCGGGAATAAATGATCAATTAAATTAAAAACAACATGTGTAATAATTTGCAATAAAAAAGTAAAAGTGTTTTTTAGGTAGGCCATGATTCATTCAGTTGGTTATAGACAGATGATTCCAATAATCAAAATCAGGGTTATTGACATTTTTTTTCCCCGAAGAAGTTAATATCCACCCACCTTTTCCTAATCACTTTCAGTTCCATTTGCTGTTTCCATATTCTCCAGCCCTTCTAGCTAGACCCAATCTCTCTTGTACAGTGGGCATCTTCCATCCAGACTTCATCTCAAAGAGCTAGAGGAGTTTGCACCACTAATTGCTAATGTTGAATATCCTAATATCAATTGTATGAATTAATTATAAATAAAATATTCCACTTAGATCAATTACCTCACTATTATATTCAAATTAAGAGTTATTTCTATATATATAGAAACTTTTGTTCATCATTCTAGCCGAAATGTTAGGCAATTATCATATGTAGTGAGCTGCGCGCATTAGAGAAGGATTCACGTGTGACTTAGCTAGTCCCAGCATTTCTACCAGAATGTTGGACCTGAATATCACAACTCACATAATAGAAAGTGCTAAACCTGAATTCAACATTGTGAATTATGAAATGCTGTCCGTCTCGGAATTGTAATCAGAAAAAAATAATAATAATAAAAATTAAAAATTAAAAAATAAAAAATTGAATTAACACCGACCTATAATTTCAATTTCAAGGAGTGTATTCCATATATCATAAATTGTAAAAGACAAGGGCTATAATCAATAGAGATTCAAAACCAAACTGAAAAACATCATATACACATGTAAGTATATATTTATACACATTTCTTATAAATGAGAGAGATTGTGGGTGAAACATACCAGGAGAGGAGAGAGAGAGCTGGGTTTCCTCCTCCTTCAGATTCTCACTTATTGAACCAGCAAACACTAACAAGACTTTCCCTTCCTAGAGATAGAGAGACGACTGTGTATTTTAGACTTTCAGTTCAATATATACACACAAATACAAATACATGTGTGTGAACGCGCGATTGTGTGTTAGTGTGTACAACTTATGTGTGAAAAAGAAATTGGAGATAGATAAATTAGGGTTGCTTACCGATTAGACAAAGGGCGAGAGAGGTTAGAGAAATTTAAACACAATCTTCAGATTTCGTCTTTAAGCCATACGATTATCATTTAGGGCTTAGGGCTTGCCGCTTGCTTCGATCGATGGCCAACTGAAAGAGGCTCAAGGAGAGAAACGTTAGGTTTTATTGAAAGAGGGAAAAGAAATATCGCTGGTGGCCGCTCCCCTCTTCTTTGTCACTGTTCCCTTCTGATTTGTCTCTCCCCTCTTCTTTTGTGTTTGTTCTGTGTTTGAGGTTAATGCGAAATGTGAATTAGGTTATTTATTTATTTATATATATATTTTTAAGTGTAATTTTAATGGTATACAATTTGGAAGGAGGGTAAAAAAATTTGGTGGGAAGTTTTACTTATTCACGGGACAAAAAATATCCCTTAAATGTTATTAAATATCTACGAGGATTTTAAAAGGCCGTTAAAAAATAGTAATAATAAAATAAAGTGAAATTTTAATTGTGCCCAATTTGGCGGGAGGGTAAAAAAAAAGTGGTGGGAAGTCTTTTTACTTATTCACGGGACAAAAAATATGCCTTAAATGTTATTAAATATCCACGAGGATTTTAAAATGCTGTTAAAAATAAAAAAATAAAATAAAATAAAGTGCAATTTTAATTGTGTCCAATTTGGAGGGAGGGTAAAAAAATTTGGTGGGAAGTCTTTTTACTTATTCACGGGACGAAAAATATCCCTTAAATGTTATTAAATATCCACGAGGATTTTTAAAGGCCAGTAAAATAATAATAATAAAAAATAAAAAAAATTAAATAAATAGAGTGCAATTTTAATTGTGCCGGGTAAAAATTTACTTATTCACGGGACAAAAAATTTCTCTTAAATGTTATTAAATATCCATGAGGACTCTAAAACGTTGCAAATGTAATTTTTATTGTGCCCCGTTTGGCGGGAGGGTAAAAAAAAAGTTGGGGAAACTCTTTTTACTTATTCAAGGGACAAAAAATGTCCCTTAAATGTCAAATTTTAACACTTTAATAATAAGGGTTATTTCTCTTGTTAAAGTTGAACAAGAATGCCCTTAATATATTTAAATATCCACGAGGACTTTAAGACGCTGTAAAAAACATTTTTAACGAGGATCTTGGTAAATCCCCATGAAAACATGTCCCTTTATGTACCAACCACGAGGATCCTCTCATAATCCCCATCAAAAATAGTTTCCATGAGGCAAAATAAAGAAACCCCGTAAATAAGATGTCGTAAAAACCCACTTTTCTTGTAGTGCTAGCTTAGCAATGGATTGAGAATGAGAATGAAGCAATTGAGTGTTCGCCTCTAGAGTGCCTAAAGCGGTCAACACTTTTTCTTCAAAAGCGGGACTCCTAGAATTTCCTTGAGAATACAATGATTAGTTAGGGAAATGAGAATTAGAGAATTGATTTCCATGTGATGATTGAAAAGAAGATTTATAACCTTGGGAACCTTGGCTTTGCATTGGAGGTGGAACATACTTGTTTTGAAAACCACCTTGGGGAGGGTTTGAGCCTTCCCCTTGGCTTTTCCAAGAGAAGTTTGGATGGTTCCTCCACCCTAGATTATAGTGCGAGCCACAGGGATTATTCCCTTGGTTAGCAAAGACAGCATGTGCGTGTTCATGGTTCTCGTTTTGTGCATGTCCATGGGGACAATTGGAAGTAGAATGCAAGACACTTGAACAAGTCATACATGATTCATTAGATGCATGATGATGAACATGATTAGGGGAGGAAGATACTTGATTCGCTGAATTTTGGTTGATCAAGAATTGATTAAACCTTTGAGATAAGGATTTCATCTCGGTGGCTATGTCATTGGAATTATCAACTTGATATAAGCCAACATTCTTCCTTCCATCTAAATTTCTACCATTTTGAGAGGATAAAGATCTATGTGTTGAATTCTCACTCATGCTTTCATTCAATTACCACACATCATTTTCATGCTTGTCAAGATAAGAACCATCTATCGATGCATCAACCATACCCTTGTGATTATCCGGTAAACATTCAAAGAAATATTGAACTAGTTGCTACTTAGGTATGTTATGATGTGGGCACTTCCTAAGCAAGTCATTAAACCTTTCCCATGCCTCATGAAACATTTCCCCATCCCCTTGAGAAAATTCACGAATGGAAGTTCTCATAGCATTGGTCTTTGATACCAGATAGTACTTCTTTAAGAACTCTTGTTGCATTTCTACCCAAGAAGTTATCAAAAAAGGTCTAAGATTGTTGAACCAATATTTTGCCTTGTCTTTAAAGGTAAAAGGAAAAAGTTTGAGTCTTAAAACTTCTTCAGGCATGTCCGTGTATTTCACGGTGGAACACACTTCAAGAAACTCATCCAAATGCTTATAGGGTTCTTCACTTGGAAGTCCATGATAGTTGGGAAGCATTTGAATGATTTACGGTTTAATCTCATAGTGATTGATGAGCGCTAAAAAGTGCACATTTAACCCTTAAGCTAAGGTATTCTAGGACCTTTATCTATCTTACTTTCCCATTTTAGACTAATTTTGTGTTATTGCCCTTTTCAGGTACTTATCCAAAAAATAAGCCAATTCAGCCAAATAAGAGCATTAAAGAAGTTAACTTAAGCTGAATGGAAGAAAGGAGCAAAGTGGAAGCTAAATGAAGCAAAGTGTGGAAATTCAGCATGTTCGATCGATCGATCGAAAGTTCATCGATCTAAGCAATTCAAGATGGATCCAAGCTCTTGTCCTTATCCAAAAGAATCCAACAAGCTCGATCGATCCAACATTTCCTAAATCGATCGAAATGATTTAATCTTATCCACACCTACCACCCACCTACCACTTTTGTCTTCTTCCCAAAAATATTCCAAAATATCTCAGAGATTTGTCTTTATTCAAAAAGGCACTTCCAAGGATGATCAATCTATACAGCATTCGATGGATCTCAGCCACATTCAATCGATCTCAACACAGTTCGATTGATCGAACTTCCGCAAGTCCGAAAAAAAAAAAGATTCCAGCTCATTAAAAGTTGGCTCATGGTGCAATCATTAGAGGGACCTTGGTGTACAAGCCCAGACCATTGGCTGTGACACTTGACCAACCTATATAAGGATTTTGAGCCATTTTTACATCATAACTTGTAACATTCAACATAACTTGCATTTTTCATATCTTGGAGAGGAGGTTAGAGATTAGAGAGTTTTTACACATTTTGGGAGTTCTTCCATTCTTCTAGGGTTTCCATCAAGAAGAAGGTCATTCCTACCACAGAGATAGCCCTTGAGGGTTAGATGACTACTTCAATGAGTGGCTAGACATTTACTTGGGGCTAGAGTAGCCCCTAACTTTGTTTCCTAGACTTAGTTCTTTGTATATTTTTGGCGATTTATTTGTAACAATGTTTTGATCTTGGATTTATATATATATCATATGGTTTCTACTTGATGTATATGGATTAATGCTTTCAATTGATTATCTACTTCTAACCATATGTTTATGTATGCTAGAATGGATGATTCATGTGTTTTTCTCTAGATTTAGTGGAATTTATGCATGTCTATGTGTATAGATGAAGTTAATCTGGAGATGGTCAAAACATAAAGCTTGATTGAACACTCTTGCAATTTATTTGATGGTTCACACTTGTTTCTTGATGGATTGTACCACAACTTTACCTTACTTAGTTAAATTTCATGTCTTTAGTGTAGATATAGTGTAGTTACTTTAAATTAATAGATAAGTGGACAATCTAATCTTGTTCCTTGGTGTTCCATACTTATGAATACATTAGGTGTATGCTTCAAGATAGTTGTGTGTGCATGAATTATGGTTTTATTGAATGGATTTTGGTCTCATTTGATAGGTTGTGCTTTCCATTTGATTTGGCTTGACAATCTATACTTATTTGTCATCCAAGCCTAGTTTCAATTAATGTCACACACACACACACAAGTTACAAGTCAATTTCCCCATTAATATACAATTGCTAGTGTCTAGTGAAGTCAAGTTTAGTGGTGAACTCTAGTACCCCAAGTCCTCCCCTCTATATCTTTCTCTACTTTATTAATCATTGAATTTTGTTTACTTTAATTTCATTTGCATAATAGCTTAATCAATCAATCCAACTAATCTTTGATCGCTCGACCTACTAACCCTATATTTTATTTCCATTGCAAAGGCACCCACAATCCCTTGGGACGATCCTGTAATGACCCGGTTATTTTCCTTCCTTTCATTTTCTCAGATTTTACGGATATTTTTTTTTCGTTGATCTTTTCCTTTCTGAGTTCGGTTTCTCGTCACTCAGTGTCATCTTGAGTGCTCGGGTATGGTTTCTGAGACTTTTTTCCTTGGGTTGATGACTTCCTTTGAGGCCCGAGTCATTTTCACATTTTCACTTTTGTGACACTATTCACCTTTCGTCTTTTTCTCGGTTGTCACCTTGTTGGCATAACCTCACTTTTCGTGTTCGGATTTGATTCCGGTTTTGCATGCATCCACGATATTTAAATTCCATGCTATGTGTATTTTCACTTTTGTAGAAGAGCATGCTAAGTGCTTACTTTTCTTGTAAAGGGTATAGATGCAAGACCTTTATGTAATTTTCCTAACTTTAGAAGTTTTTGTGTAATTACTGTAAAGTAATTATTTTTCGTCTTAGGGACCATTTTGCAATTTAATTTGGGAGATACTTTCAAAAAGGACTTTTTTGCAATTTTTGAAAAGTGTGACAAGTGTAACACTCTCGTTGGTACACTTGTTAACATGTGTGTGGAAACACTTTGAGGCCTTGGATGAGGACATGCAGAGGGTGGAGATTTAACCACTTGTTGGCCTAGGATTGGTGCACTTGTTGGCTTGGATGGTTGACAAGTGTAGGCTTGAGATTTAGCCTAGGATGGAGCCTTGGATTTGTGATAAGTGTAGGCTCACAATTTGATCTTGCATTAGTGTGTGTGTGTGAGGTAGTGTAAGAGCACATAGTGAGTGAAGGATCTCTATCCCCTCCACTCACATTTTATTTTCATCATTTTTCATTTCCTCCATCTCTTGTAAAGAAAACCCTAGCCTCCATGGATGGAGCCTAAAGCCTTAAGCTTTGACCTTGATTTTTGAGAGCCTTCAAATGATTTCCAAGCTTGAACTTGGGAATACATTTTGTTCCCCTCATCTTCCTCTTCATAACCTTAGAAGGGTTTGCCATTTTGTGTTGATTTTGCCTTGGATTCTAAAGAGACGCTTCTCTAGTGAGGTAGGGGATGTTA